CGGCCTGGCTGCCCCCTTGCCAGGGCCCTGCCTACCTTGCAGAATGGACACCCCGTCCGTGGCCACCAGGGGCCGGCCCCCCCGGTACCAGGTGAGTGTGGGCGGCGGCACGGCGTCGCTGTCACAGTACAGGTAGGCTGGGCTGTTCTCCACGACCTCCCGGTACTCCGTCACCCCGCCCCGGGCCTCCTCCTCCCGGGACAGGAGCTCAAAGGCCTCACCGACGTCGCCCACCTTCTGGAACATGGGGGGCACTGCGTGGGGGAGACGAAGTCATCAGGACGGGCGGCAGGGGGTGAAGGACACCCTTCACCCTCGAGGACACCCCCTCGCCCCCTCGCCGGGCACCGGGGTGAAGCCCTGCCCGCTCAGGCACACATCCGAGGGCCTCAAAGACCTCGTGGGGTGCTCTGGGGATCTGGGGAGCAGCCACTTACTAAGCTTCTGAGAGTTCGGGTGTCCCAGCACAGAGCAGATTGCCTCTTGGCCAAGTGCCGGGGCTCAAGGCCCCCATTTGTGGCTCACGTTCACAAGGGGCCAGGCGTGCCAGGGCGTGCTGGCCACTAACTCAGTCAATGACAGTGCCTACCCGGGGCACCGGAGGCCAGAGGGCAAAGAGGAAGGGTAGGGGCACCCCAGAACAGAGTCGTCCTGCCAGGACACCCCAGAAGCACCCCACAGGAAACCTGGCTCCTACTGTCCTCCGTGAACGTGATCTGGCCCTCAGCCTCCTCCCTCTCTCCCCGCCTCTCCCTCCCTCCCTCCCACTTCCCAGAGGGCAGAGTCTGGGTTCCCTCTGTCCAAGGGGGGTCCCCAGGAGGCGGGTGAAGGGCAGGGTGACAGGCAGGGGACGTGGTGACCCAGAGCACAGGTCACCTTGCCACGGACCCTCTGGGGCCCTAAAGGGCTCTTCCTCCCCTCTGCAGTGAAGCAGGAGCTATGAGACCCCCTTGGGGGTGCCTAAAGCACCCTCCTTTCGGCGGGGGCTTTGCGTGGGGGTCTCGCTGGGATGGCACCTGAAGCCAGGGGAGCAGCCACGGTGGCTGCAGAGATGGTGGACGGGATAGAAGCTGCCAGTCCAGGGTGCTGTGAGCCCCCTGTGCAGGCCCCACGGGGGTACAGCACCCCAACCTCTCCCCGCCACCCTCCCCCTGGGCCTCACACTGACCTCAGGGGGCCCCTCCCCATGGGGTGCTGCCACCCCCGCCCGCACCCTGGATGAGCACGCTGAAGTCCTGGTCGTCCTCCCCGGCCACGTTGGAGGCCACGCACAGGTACCGGCCCGAGTCCGAGCGCCGCGTGGGCCGGATCTGCAGCAGCCGCCCATCGCCCAGGACGCGGAGCCGCTGGTCGGGGGTCACCGGCTGCGGGAGGAGGGGCGCGGCTCAGCGTGGGGGGCGAGAGCGCCACGGAGGATGACTCACAGCCGGCCTCAGACCCCAGCGCCCGGCACCTTGCCGGCCGGAGCCAGGCCTCAAGCTGGGCGGGGATTAAGTGGGTGCGCAGCCTACTGTCTATGGGGCCTTTTCCTGTGAAGAGTGGGGGTTCTTATTAAAAACTAGAGGGGCCTCCCTGGTGGTGCAACGGGGTGAAGCGCAGCGCTGTGAAGCCGTCGGCAGGTGCTTCGGCGCGGTCCACCCCCGGCCGGGGAGGGGCCACGGGCGCAGCAGGCCCCTCCCGCCTGCCCGCTGCCCCCTCAGCCGGTGTTTCAGTGGATCCGCCTGTTCAGTGGATCTGCTCCCCGCTGTTTCTGGGGAGTCCTCTCGGCCCTCTACCTCTAACCTGTACCCCAGTTCTGTGTGCATAAATAAATGAACAACTAAAGGGTGGGTGGGTGCAGGTCGCCTGGGGCCACCTGCTTTTAATTTCATTTATTTGGGGGACACGCTAACTCCTTTGATCCGCACAGCTCTGCGAGATGCCCCCGCACCCCGCCCCTCCCCGCTCCGAAGCCTCACCCCGCCAGGCAGTGCTTCGGGGCACTTGGCGGCATCAGCGCTTTCCCCAGGGTCGACGCAGCTCTGGGCCGCCTGCTACCGCGTGTCAGCCTGACGGCCCCACCGCACACCGCCCCGGCAGCCCCATCCTGCTGTCTTTCCCATGGCCGAGAGCTGCTGCCCGGGAACGGCCCTCTGTCGGGGGCTCAGGGGGCCCCGGGGCCTCGCTATTGTCTACTGGGCTGCAGTAGACTGCGGAGCATAGAATTTTTGAGCTGACGGTGTGTTCTTCTTTGGATAGATGTGGGCTAGGTGCTTCTGCTGCCTTTTCTAGAAGGTTCTAAGCAGAACGGGGGAGCCCGAGGTGGCCCGGGCATCAGCGCTCACCTGTCCATCCTTGTACCAGCTGATGGCGGGCGGGGGCGCGGCCCAGCACTCGCACTCCAGGGTCAAAGTGCTGTTGGCCTTGGCCTTCACTTCCTTCACGCTGCCCTCCCCCGAGGGGTCGTCTTTAGAGATGGAAGGAGGGACTAGAAACACGAGGAGAGGTCTGAGACACGCGTGGGGGCGGGCACTGAGGCCCTGTGCTCAGCCTACTCCCAGGGCTCTCCCAGAAGCGGGGGGCTCCCCGGTGTGCAGGAACAGGGCCCCTGGAACTTGGCCCGCTCCTAAGGCCATTCACTTAGGGGAGAGGGCTAGCGAGGCTTACAGGGCAGGGCAGGTCTGAAACAGGCTGACCTCTGGGAGACCTTTTGGAGGTTCCAGGTCTGAAATTCTGGGGCTTCTGGGTGCACCCCAACACAAACCGAGACCGACCTGGGTCGGGGTGTCCACGTGGCCCCCTCTGAACTTACTCCTCCCCCCC